AATAAATAAATAAATAAATAAATAAATAAATAAATAAATAAATAAATAAATAAATAAATAAATAAATAAATAAATGCTGCCCATTTAGAGACAACTCTGGGTGGCTTACAAGCATTAAAAATTTGTAAACATTAAAATAATAAACAGTAAACAACAATACCTATGTAATGGGTGTATTCTAGGAAGAAAACATGGGTGCATGGGTGGTGGTACAGTATAGCTGGCCTCAGCTGGCCTCAGCTGGCCTCACAGAGGTCACAGTTATCATAGATGCTATTTTAAGAGATACGGTACCTCTGAGACATGATGGAATATAGAGGAAAAAAGGAAATTTAAAGCACAGCTGATCTAACCAGAGTGGAAAAGCAAAATAGAACCTAAGACTGATGATAATAAGCTTCCTGTATTCCTACAGGGTCCTTGGCACTCTCTGAGTTTAATTGTTTTCTTGCAGAAAATTCATTACCCAACTCTGTAAAATCATCAATACTAGAAGGGAGTCAGGTTCTTGTATTTTAACTATGAGATCTTATGTAATTTGTTAGGTTTACTTCATGAGTCATTTTACTCCTAAACAAACATCTTAGTTTTTCTTGTGCATCCTCATAACTCGGTATTATTACTATGGTATCCCGAGACAGAGGGGAAATGAGGTTCCTGAATATCCTATTTGTGCTTCCCTGAATTCATTTATCTATAACTGAACATTGTTGGCGTAGTTTCTTTCTTTTTGATACAGGAAACATACAAAACTGCAGTGTAAGACTTAACACAGGCTTAGCATTCTGAAATTCCTCCCCATCCACTCTGTAAAGCAAAGAAAAGTCAGAAAACCAGATTCTTCTCATATATTTGAGTGTAGATATCATGTATCTCCTTGTTCAATCCAGGTGATTCTTTCCTTCCCAAAAGAATATTAATTCCCATCCCAAGGTGATATGTCATGCTGAGTCTTTCTTAGAATCTCAATAATTTTATATGGAGAAAATGTGGTCTATGTAGTTGATATCTTGAATTGGAAAATCCATTATGCAAAACAGAATTATTGCTTTTATTAATATGTTGGAATACAAATGCTGATTTTTATTTTGCTGATCTTCCTGTTATCAAATGGCTGGAGCAACATCTTTTATCAAATCTGGATGGACTGCATTTAAAATATAAAAAGTAAATGTAAAGGTTCCCCCTCGCACATATGTGCTAGTCATTCCCGACTCTAGGGGGCGATACTCATCTCCGTTTCAAAGCTGAAGAGCCAACACTATCCAAAGATGTCTCTGTGATCATGTGGCCAGCATGACTAAACACCAAAGGCACACGGAACGCTATTGCCTTCTCACCAAAGTTGGTTCCTATTTTTCTACTAGCATTTTTACATCTTTTTGAACTGCTAGGTTGACAGAAGCTGGGAAAAATAACGGGAGCTCACTCTGTTACATGGCACTAGGGGTTTGAACCGCCAAACTGCCGACCTTTCTGATCCACAAGCTCAGTGTCTTAGCCATTGAGCCACCAAATCCCTGTTATATTTAAAATATACTTGCATCATAAAAATGTCCAACTTTCAAGCAATATTGTCTTATAATATGCCTCTGTTGGAGGTCAGGTTATTAACCATGGCTGCATTGCCCTCTAGTGTCAGTTTAGCATGTAATGAAAATGTTTAGAAAAGGGCTGTTTAATATTTTGTCTGCATGCCTTATGATGCAGGAGTGGCATTGCCCAAGCACTTCATCAAGTTCTATTATTTTAAGAATGAATTGTCCATGTTCAGGTTTGTCTTAAATTATGTCTTAAAACTGTATTTTAATTTATATTTGCTTTAAAAAGTCAGGATCAGAGATTCTGCATTTCTTTCAAGAAAGGAAATATATTTTACTCTTTTAAAATTAGACACATAGCTTGAGTAGCAAAGTAGTAGGAATGAGTAGCACATTTGTGCGAGGGGAACCTTTACTTTTACAACTTCTATATTGTAATCTTTTTAATAGTAAAAGAGATGTGCAAGTTCAATATAGAAATACAGGTAGTCCTCAATCTATGACCACAATTGAGCCCCAAATTTATTTTGGTAAGTGAGAAATTTATTAAGTGAGTTTTGCCTCGTTTTACAACTTTTCTCAGCACATTTGTTAAGTGAATCTCTTGAAAGAAAAGGTTAGGGCTAAATCGTCATGAATTCCATCCATCGTCCCCTAACATACAGTATATTCAGCATATAGGTTGAATAAGGAGAGAGTATGCAGTCTTATTGCACTTTTTTTGCTGAACTGCAGCCGTTTCTGTTTTGCAAAGGTCTCTCCATACAGTGGCAATGAAGGATATTGTACAATAGTTTACACACTTTGTTAAGTCCCCCTTTTTTATATTGGAATGTAGGTTAACATCTTCCAACAATTCGACACTGCGACATTATTCAGAGATGCTAGCATAGCTTGGTTAGAATCTTGACCGGTTCTTCTTCTGTTGCTTGCCATATTTCAGTGAGTACTCCATCAGTTCCTATAAGCTTCTAACTTGACAATGACCAGAGGGTAGATTTAATTCCATCTTCAATGTCTTTATAGATGTTGCTGTAATACAGTTTCTTGTTTCTTTTAACAGCTCTCTGAAAACCCTTAAGCTCCTTTCTGGGGCTTTTGTCTTTTTTGGCTTGACTTCTCTTCCCTTCTTGGTAATTTCCATGGTTTGTTCTGACAGGTTTGCTTTTTTCTTTTCTTTTTAGACAGTCTTAAGTCTTAAAAACTTCTTTGAGTTCATTTCAGAATTCCTCTGGTTCTCGATCAATGAAGTGCAAGACTTCAGAGCTATTCTTAATGTTCTCTTTGAAAATGGTGGATATATGTTCTTTAGCTTAACCTGGAATTTGCACGTGAGCAATTTGTGATCAGTTCCTGGCCATGCCTTGATGCTATAATTGAGCTCTTCCTCTTCCTCTTAGCAACAATATAATCAATAAGATTTCTATATATTCAATTTAGTGATGTCCATATACTGTATAGAGGCATCTTTCTGATTGTTCAAAGACCTTGTTAGCGATGAAGAAATCTTTGCAGTGGCAGAAATGACAAGTCAGCCTCCTGCGTCGTTTTGATTTCCTAAGCCACACAATCCAACTATATTTTCCTCTTTCATATTTCCAACTTTGGCACTCTAGTTTCCAATCACAAACAGCACATCTTGCTTGCATGTTCTATTGATTTCACTGATGTAGAAGAAAAAGAGGTTGATTACTTTGATATTGATTGATCATCATATTAAAGGATTGTCCGCAAAGCTGAATCGATATTATTTCATCACTGATTGTGTTGTAGCCAAATACTGTTCTTGCTATATCCTTTCTCAACATAAAGGCAAGACTGTTTCTTCTTTGTTTTTCATGTGCTCAGTAATAAAGAGTGTAATCTTCTGACTGAAAGTGTCCCATCTCAGTCCCTTTCAATTTGCTTGTGCCTAATATGTCAATTTGTAATTGTTTCATTTCATCTTTCACTGTGCTGAGTGTTCCTGTGATTCTTACATTTCATGTTCCTAGTGTAATTCTGTCTTTGCTGCTTCAGAATTTCTTTTCCTGTGTGGCAATTTCAGTCCCTAGATGTCCCAAAAGTTTTAATCTAGCCATGTCATAACCACTGAGCCCTGGTGGTGCAGTGGTTAGAATGCAGCACTGCAAGCTAATTCACTGCTTACTCCAGGAGTTCGATTCTGAGCGGTTCAAGGTTGACTCAGCCTTCCATCCCTCCAAGGTCAGTAAAATGAGGACCCAGATTGTTGTAGTGCTGGAAAGCACTATGTAGTATATAAATCTAAGTGCTATTGCTATTAGTGAAAGATCCACTGCTCTTTCTCAGTAGCATATGAGTGCTATCCAATCGGAGGAGCCCATAGTTTGGCACTATATCATCAATCACCTTCAATGAGACAGATGGTCATTTAAATTTGATTAATGAAATAAAATTTCTATCCATGTGGTTTTCTTGGTAAAAGTACAGGAGGGGTTTATTTCTGACTTCCCATGCAATATGAATCAAAGCCTTTGCCATTATCACTAAAGTGATCATCTGCCTCTGGCATCTTCCTATATCAACACTGTCAATGTTGGCGCCTGCTTGCTTTAGCTGGGCACCTGGGATGATCTTCATTGAGAATATGTACAGGTAGTCCTTGCTTAATGACTGGTCGCTTAGTGATTGTTTGAGATTATAATAAATCCCCCAACAGATACTTACGACACAATTTTGCAGTTCCATCAGCCACATCCCTCCATTCTGTGATCAGATTTTGGGTGCTTGGCAATTGGCTCACATTTGACTCATGTTTACAGCCATTTACTGTAGCTTCCAGTCACACGACCACAATTTCTGATATTTTTTGTTGGGTTTTTGGGCATTTATTTCTAGTTTTCAGCAAAAAATGCCAATTGAGTAAAATAGATTTGCTTAATGAACATAGGGTGTTCACAGAATGAATCCTGCAAACTGTCACATAGTTACCCATTTAATAACTGTAATGACTTACAGCTGTAATTCTGGCTTGATTATGGCTATAAATTGAGAATTACTTCAGAGGTGGGTTGTTCCCGGTTCAGCCCAGATTGGTTGAACCAGTAGTAGCAGTGTTGGGAGTCTCCGCCCACCTGGACACTTTTGCGCATGCGCAGAAGCATCACACGCCCGAACTGGTAGTAAAAAAATTGACAACCTACCACTGGATTACTTGTGCTCTTGGAATACACTCCTTGTGTTCTTTGCTTGTCTCTTTCAGGAACAACCCCACCCCCTTCCCACCACTCCAATGAGGCAGCACAGAAGTTGGAAGGATGATGGTAATTTCTGTATTAAGCAATGCAAAATAGAAATATTCATGGGACAATAGGAATAATATTGTTCTGTGAACAAATGTGCTCTTTGGCTATTTGAAGTATATTACTAATGAAGTGAAATGAGATACTTATTTGGTATGGTGTAGTTGACACACATACAAGAAGCATATCCCCTGCAAAATGTTGTAATTTTATTAATCATTTTTGAGCAACAAATATCAAGTATAAAAGATGAAAATTTCCCTCAACCAGACATTAGTTGATAGACAGTAGAGCACTTATTCAGAAGAAAATATCCCTGAAAATCTATTTTCTGAAAACAAATAAATAGTAATTTGATGTTTGAAAACAATTCGCTAACTTAGAACAGAAATTCTAAGTTGTATTATTGTTATTTATTACTTTGGTTTACAAAAATTCTCCAATGACCTTTTGGTGTGCATATGCTTATGTTAGTCCATTCTGTAAACAATTACAAAAATAATCCAGATCCTCATACAACTACTATGCTGATGGTATCATGTAAACAGTCTTCTTCAGCAGCAGCCACACTTCACGTTTTTTTCCCCTTCTTGCAATAGTAATAAATCTACAAAGAATCCCACATCATTATATAGCCTGTCTCATATTTGGAAAGAGTAGGAAAAAAATGAAGTTTGTAGAAAAAGGAATTTGGAAGCACAGTTAGAAAAATTATGTCAGAGAACTGAGAGCTACGCTTGCCATTTTAGCAAATACCAACCAATGTTTTTGTCAGGTGCAACAGAGATGAATTGGATCAAAATCCTACTCAGTTTCCAGATCATGCCTGGCTTCTGTCAGCTAGTGTTAAAAACTCCACCAGTCTTAATTAAAATAGTACTACCTGTCACTTAATGCAGGAATTGTCACTTCTCAAGCGAAGATCCCAAACCAAACTAATACATCCTTTTTATTTCTTCACCCCCAACTCCAATTATTGACACCAAGCCCTTTTCCCCTCCATCTCCAAGTTTTTTTTTAAACTCATATAGTCTCAGTTGAGCCTACAGCCAAGAAAAGGTCAGGATATTTCAGAATGCATGGCTTGCAGAAGAGAAAATCTTTCCTTGAAGAGTAGATAGAGGAAATATTTGGTTGGATGTTGCTTGAGCATAACTTTTACATTTTATTACATTTTATTCAATTTTGGGTCACTTTTTGGAAATGTTTAGACTGGTCCTGAGGGTCCTTTTCATTCCTGCTGCAGCTTTTATTCTTACTGCTTCTTCTGCTGCTGCTGTTCCAGCTGCTGCTGCTGCTGCTGATCCAGCTGCTGTTGCTGATCCAGCTGCTGCTGTTGCTGCTGTTCTTGCTGCTGCTGCTGTGGTGGGAAGGTGAACATTTCTTGCTGATCTGGTGCGGGAGTGAACATATTGCACTCACTCTTGACACACTCACACTCGTCAATATGCAGGTAAGAATAATCCATGGTGATATCACCGTCGCAAATCAAGGTCACTTGCTTCTTTGTAGTCTTTCGCTCTTGACAACACGTGCATGTATGATCCATCATGTTTGCTTTATATGAGTACCTGAATGGTGAAAGCAAATTGAGGTTGAGATGAGATGAACTCTGTGGCTTGTGGATTCAACTCTCAGAATTCCTCACACAGCATGGATGACTGAGGAATTCTGGGAGTTGAAGTCCACAAGTCTTAACGTTGCCAACATTGGAGACCCCTGACTTACAGTATCTCTATCAATGGAATCAGTTTTGGGGTCCTTCATATTATTACTGTTGATGGGCAATCATAGCGTTTTTCATTCCTCCTCCCTATTCATTGTTGGAACTCTCTCCTCTCACTTACCTACTTGCTTCTACCTTTCCTTTGACATTTGCCAGATATCACATCTCCCATTTGTTGATCATCTGCCATTTTTTTCTCTCTCAAGGAATGGGAGCTAGGTCTGCACCCTGATCTATCTAAAACTACCTTAAATAGAATTCCATCTACACTGGGAATAATTTAAGATGCTGGGCAATGCACCAGCAATGAAATCGAATCTTAGCTGAACTTCCATTTCCCATGTTGAAAGTTGAAATTAAAATGACATCTGGACTACTTTGCAGATATCCTAAGAACCAAATCTTAGATAGTTTCTTTGCATTCATATCTCAGGGCATACAAAGATTTTTTTAAACAGTTGTTTCACAATGAGCAACCAAAGATGCAATAAAATTCAATGTTACTTACTTTGAAAAACTGTCACATTGGCCTTCACAGTATGTTACTACAATAGGTGAAGAAGATTCACAGCCATTGTGTTTTATTATTTTGGTGATATTTGTTACTGTACAGTTTTCAGCTTGAGAGTGGAAGAAAAGACAAACAGTAAAAAAAATATTGAGTCTGATCATAAACATAAAACAAACAAACCAAAAATAAAAGAAAGCATACATGTACAGGTAGTCCTTGACTTACAACCACAATTCAGCCCAAAGCAAGACAGTTGTTAAGTGAATTTTGCCCCATTTTACAACCATTCTTGCCACAGTTATTAAGTGAATCACTGCAGTTTTTAAGTTATTAACACAGTTGTTAAGTGAATCTGGCTTTGGAATAACAGAATGAAAAAGTTGGAAGGGACCTTGCCTATCAACTATAATAAGCGGGCTTGAATAGAATTGAAGTCCTGTGACATCTGAAAGGCTATGGAATAGCAGCACAAATGGCTTTATCACAGATAAAAATCTGAAATTTTTTATTTATGATAATATAACTTACTTCTGCAGATCTTGCAACACCCATCATCAGTGAATGTCACATACTCCTATAAAAATAAAATATTTCAAAATTTAATTTAGGATATTAAAACCATCATTTTCCCCATAAGGGTATCATGTAGGATTAAAATTAGAATTCTTTATTGGCCAAGTGTAATTGGCTAATAAAGACATTTGCGTTAAGCTCTCAGTGTACATACAACAATAGGGATACATCATTATCATGGTCATTGTAAAAATACATTCATCATAAAACATTAGATACAACACTTAGTGATAGTTATGGATACTAAATAGGCAATCAACATAAATCACACTAGGATACCAAATAAAAAACAGTCACAAGCACAAAAATAAAACACAAGCAACAAAGTTATAGTCATAAGAAGATAAAGAGATAGGTAATAGGAAAGATGAAAATAATTATGGTAATGCTGCATTTCTGGATAGTTTGACAATGTTGTGGTAATCAGTTGTTTAGCAGAGTGGGGGGGGGAAACATGGGTGGGGGGAAACTGTCCTTGTGTCTAGTTGTTCTGACATGCAGTGCCCTATAGTGTAATTTTGAGGGTAGAAGTTGGAATCATTTATGTTCAGGATGTGAGGGATCTGTAGACATTTTCACAGGCCCTTTTCTAATTTGTGCAGTATACAGATCCTCAATGGAAGGCAGGTTGGTAGCAATTATTTTTTTCTGCAGTTCTAATTATCCGTTGAAGTCTGTGTTTGTCTTGTTTGATTGCAGAGCCAAACCAGGCAGTTATAGAGGTGCAGATGACAGACTCAACAATTCCTCTGTAGACAGTTCCTTGGGCAGCCTGAGCTTTCTGGGTTGATGCAGAAAGAACCTTCTTTGTTGTGCTTTTTTGATGATGTATTTGATGTTAGGTGTCCATTTTAGGTCTTGAGATATTATAAAATCTAGAAACTTGATGGTCTCTATTGTTGATACTACGTTGTCTAGCATTGTGACTGGTGATAGTGTAGGAGGGCTTCTCCTAAAATCTACTATGATTTCTACAGTTTTAAGTGGGTTCAGTTCAAGACTGTTCCGGCTGGACCACAAGGCTAGTTTTTCAACCTTCTGTCTGTATGCAGATTTATCGAATGAGACCAATCACTGTTGTATCATTTGCAAATTTTAGTACTTTAACAGAGGGATCCTTTGAGATGTAGTCATTAGTATAGAGAGAGAAGTGCACAGAGCCCTGGGGCACCCCTTTGCTAATTGTACAGGTATCTAATGTGATTCTGTCTAGCTTCACCAGCTGCTTCCTATCTGTTAGAAAGCTTATGATCCACTTACAAGTGTGATCAGGCACAGCTAACTGATTTAGTTTAGGTAGAAGAATAGAACATCAATACAAACAAAAGCAAAACAACAATATTTGGGCAACAGTCCTAAAAGGATATTATATATCTTGGTGCATCTACTTCTTCTATAAATATTATATATGAAACAACAACGGAAGCATTCTCACTAATTCTCTATCTCAGTATTCATTTTGCTTTGAATACATTGTCTCCTGTAGCGTACTAAAGCTGTGTACTACTGACAATGCCAGCCAATTATTTTACAGTTTTATATAGCTGTTTAGATCACAATGTATTTTAGCAACAGAATGTCAGATTATGGCTAAAGCTTTTGCTTAAATTCATCTAATACAGTTCAGTTGTAAATCTTCCATAATAAACCCAATTAATTCCAACTTAATCTTTTGAAAAAATTCACATTCACCACATAGAATCAAATATGATAAAAGAAAGACTGTTGAATCAGTGAAACTTACAGGCGGGCAATTTGGATCAAATGGAGGGCAGGCTTTCTTGGTAGTGACAAGAACATATTGGTTCTCAACAAGATCACATTCATATGAAGTACAATTGTTTCCTGGTGGGTACCACGTTTCTCCTGGCTGAAAATAGCCACAATTGTAGTTATTTATTTATTTTAGAAGATAACATAAAAACAACTCATGATCATACATTCATTAATTTCTCAGAGTACAGAACTGGGAATGTGGTGGAGGGTGGCATGCAATTCAGTTAGAGGTGTCCTCAAAATGTGAAACAATAGATGGGAAATTTTTGCACAGCTGAGGGATACTGGACCGATCCTAACATTCCTCGACTTACGCTGGATGTGATTTGTTAAATTGGCGCATATGTAGTTTGATGATAACAGTTGACTTGGCATGCACAATGGAAGCTTGGCTGGGGAATCCTATCACAAACTCAGTATAGGTAGTTCTCAATTTACAATCGGGCATTTAGTGACCATTCAATGTTACAATGCACTCTCAAAAGCTACTAAGGATCGCCATTCAAAGTTACAATGGCTGGGCCTTCCCCACAATTATATGACTGCACTTCAGGTTTTTGGCAACTGGCCTATATACATGGCCATTTGCAGCATCCTCTACTCATATGACTGAGTTTTATGATTGTTTGCCAAAAGCGGGCATTTATTTCTAGTTTTTGGCAAAAAATGGTGCACAGCAAACAATGGGTTTGCTTAATGACCCCGGTGTTTCCTTAGCAACTGCCACAAAAAAGATTGGATCAGTATTAGATGCATGAGTGGATTAAATGTGAATTTGATGAGCAGTGGAGTTCGGAAAATTGTAAGTTACCTTGATCACTTGGGCAGGAGAGGAATTCAATGTCAGAACACAAGCAACCTGCGCACATTGGCCACAGCATTGTCCAGATACTTCCCGATATTCGTAACCCTGTAGTTCAGAAAAATGGGAAACGTTCATAAATCGTAGTTTTTTTTTTAATAAGTGGTGAGTAGATGGATAGATTCAGAGAGTTTGAAAGCCATGAAATTTTGTTGTTTAAAAAACACCGACAATGTGGCTTACCAGAGGGCATCTTAGGTCGCATGTCTGAGACACACATTCCACATTGTTTTCCAGACCTTCTTTTTCAGAGCATCTGCATGAGTCACATAATCCTCCTGGTACAACTGCCCCAGGCTGAAGAAGTAGAAAAGTGAAACAGTAATAAATAATTCTAACCTAAATTCATACCTGGAACTACTACAATCAATCTACTTGTGATCTGCTCTTCAGAAAGAGCCATGCTCGATACTTGTATTTTGAACTTTAAGATGTCAGGTGAAGATCTTTTTTATTATTATTATTATTATTATTATTATTATTATTATTATTATTATTATTATTATTATTATTATTATTA